ATTCGCCGACCTCGGTACCAGTGTCCATGATCCATTCCGTTCATGCGCTCGCAGCTCTAACTTCATCGCCTTCACCCACTCCGCCGCATCGTCACCATCAATGGCCTGCTGATACCCTAGAGCAGCATATACCAGCACTGCCTCAGCGAGCAGTCCGTCTTCATCAATGCGCGGTCGCTTAGGCGATGGTGGCCAGAATTGGTCGCCGCTGTCAGAATCACTGTCAGTCCCACGGTTTTGGTCGTTGTTTGTCGATTCCACAATCGCCGACTCGTAATTCGCGGAGCCATCGTTCAGCAGTAGCCTCGGTGTCTCTGCTCGGCGAACACGCTCCGTCCTCGGGTGGAACACCATGCTGTCGCCGGTCGTCAACCTTGAAGGTCTTCTGTACGTCGTCAGCTCTCTACTCGTCGATGTCGGCACTGGTACAACACCTTGCATTTCTACGTCATCGCCGCCGAGTTCCTCCTCAGCAGGCGGCATTGGTTCGTCGACGGTAGGTTCCACCTGTGGCTACACGTCTTCATGCTGCACTTAATCGTCGACCTCCTTGGTCACATGGACGATTGTCAACTGGTTCGATACAGCCGTATCGTAGATACCGTTGACCTCCCGTTCATCCAGTCTCAGCGAACGTGACACCTTAAGCCTGTTTGACTTCAAGTCCTACACCCGGTACCTCTTGACGCTCTCAGCGTACCCCAAGAACATACCCTTGAAGATCTTTGCATCCAGCTTCGTACGTTTACCGTCTTCCACATGAGCATACCCGGTAGATCTGAAATACGCGCAAATGCTCCATGCGCGGCTTAATCTTGAAGCACAGCTAATACGGTGTCATGTTCGCGTGAACACTGTTCGTGGTCCCGTTGATCAGGTACACCGCTGTGTTCACCGCCTCGGCCCGCCACAACGAGCTCACACCCTTACAGTGCAGCATACTCCGATCCTTCTCCGTGATCGTCCGGTTCATTCGCTTGGCCACGCCGTTCTGTTGCGGGCTGTACGGCACAGTCTTCACCCCGCTGCGCTCACAAGTCCCATCTAGAGCCTTGCTCACAAACTTAGTGCCATTATCTGATCGAATTACCTTAATTCGCTGACCCCAATGGTTTTCGTACAGCGCCTTGTACGCCTTGAACTTGGTCACCACTTCACTCGTCTTTTTTAGGAAGTACACGACCACAAACCTCGAGTGGCCGTCCACGAAGGTGAGCACGTACTTTGCTCTATCCTTCGACTTCGTCTTCATGGGTCCCATCACGTCTGTGTGTACTAGCTCCAGTGCGGCTGATGACTTGGTCAGCGATCTTGACGGAAAT